AGCACCACATCAAGACATCATCTTTCAACCAACAACCAAGTAGCACTCCCTTCACAGCCCATGTGCAAAATCTGAGTCACCCGAAAGAGGATGTGTTATGAAGGAATTGCTATCTTTAACCTCTTAGGATTCTACAATCACTCCTTAAGAGGCATTTTCAGCCCATTTTTCCCCCATCTCACCTTCTCTATCTCCCCGTGTAAGTACTCTCACACCTATTATCAAACTGTCTGTACTGGCCTAGCTTGATTATCACTTCAAAAGTTTGGTTTTTTTTTCCTCTTAATTAATTGGCCTCTCAGAGTTGGTAAGGCAACTCCCACCTGTTTATGCTCTCTGTATGTGTGTATATATATCTCCTCAATATATGTTCCATTCTATATGCATCCGAAGAAGTGGGCTGTAGTCCACGAAAGCTTATGCTCTAATAAATTTGTTAGTCTCTAAGGTGCCACAAGTACTCCTGTTCTTCTAACTGCTTCTGGTATTCACAGAGGTAGACGTTGTTCTAAACTGCACCAGTTAGTTGTGCAGTCCAGAAGTCCTCTCTGTCATGGACAGGCAAGAATAGATTAATGGATTTTAAGGCCAGAAGGGAATACTGTTATGAACTAGTCTGACCTGCCTGCATAACACAGGTCACACAACCTCACCCAATAACTTCTGCATCAAGTGTTTCAGTTACAGCATATCTTTTAGAGAGACCTTTAGTTTTGACTTAGAAGTGCACGTGATGGAGAATTCACCATGTCCCTAAGAAAGTGCATAGCTGCAAAATTTCAGTGGGTGGGGATGGGAGAGGAGAAGGTTACACCAGGACCTTCCCTGGCAACTCAAGTTTGCAGCCTGAGCACAGAAAACAAACCACCAAGTCTGTTTCACTTCTCCATTTGTTCTTACTCTGTCGTACAGAAGCTTATCAGCTGAATCTGGAGTGACTCCCATTCGATGTTGAGCTACAAATTTGGGGAGAAAGGTTCAAAAAGAAATATCAGCCTTGCAAAATTGTCATGATAGATGGCTAACCTAGGCCCAAACCCTCCCCCCTTACCCACGACAGTGCTGATATACTTGATAGTCGACTCACCCAGGGTGAGTTGAATTTTGCGAGGGCGCTGCAGGGTAGAAGATAGTTATGTAAACTGCAACTGTAGGGATGTTTTGGTTGTGGGCTTCCATGGTCACAGCTGGTATGTGTTTTGTGCAAGCCAGAGGGTCACTCGGTACTTTCTGCCTGAGGAGAACTGTTTTAAAAATAATAAAATAGAATGTTGTGCTGGTGGTTAGAGGATCTTATCCATCTCAGAGTCTGAAGTATCAGTGATGACACAAACTCCAATGCTTTAACCAGAACCATGTAGTGACCATGCTGCTTTTACTTAATTATTTGCATTATAGTAGCATGTACATATTTTCTACCAAATCCTGGGACCCATTGTGCTAGGCATTAAAAAATATGTCTGACCCCAATTGCTTACAGTCTAGACAGACAATGGGTGGTAAGGGAAACCAAAGCACAGAGAAGTGAAATAACCTGCCCAAGTTCACATGGCAGGGTAGTGGCAGCACTGGGAATAGAACTTGGGTCTCCCAGTCCTGGTTCAGTGCTCTTTCTACTACACTTGTTTCCCCAATGGTGGGTTGTGGGAAGAGTCTAGATGTGGGTCACCTCACTCCTTACCCTGCACTCGCTACCTTCCACTGGGCTTGGGCATCAGGCAGAGGGAGCAGTGTATCCATAAAAACATTACAGTTTTGATGAAGATAATACAAAATCAATATTGCCATTGCAGTTTCTGGATTTAAAACATAGAAAATACTAGTTAGATACACACAGTACATATGTAATAGTAGTCCCCATAAAAGATTAAATGCAGCTGGTAGGTCACATTAGTAAAAAGTTCGGGAACCCCTGAAGCTGATCACGCTGTCCTTCTGCCTAATGATCAGACAAATAACCGTGTGAATAATCATTCCCTGCTCTTCCTCAAGGGCCCAGTCCTATGAGGTGTTGAAGGATCTTCAGATCTTATGATTACATATGCCAGCAAATTATCTGTCATTCAAATGTATAGACCCCCCAAATGCTCAAATTGTGAAGTTGGAGCATTCATATGCAACTTGTAAAGCTTATTTGGTGTTGACAATGTGTGAATTAAATTAGTTAGAAAACCAATGTTTTGTTGTGCACATGTTCAATACCCTGTAGATGAAGGGACGATGGCCAGCTGGCATCTGGGGCAGTGTTCAGGTAATTTAGGGGTCTCTTTTGAAAAGTGCAACCTTGACTGTTTCTGACTTTCTAATTCTTGTTTGTGGGGAAAAAAACAAAAACTAATAAATCCGAGTTATAGTTCTGTGCCTGCAATCTGAGTTTCACCTTACCAAAGCTTTCTGTGCAGGAATACACTATAGTACATGGTCAGCCACTGAACTGTCAAATAGGGCAGTATGTTGTAATACAGTTCAGTGTGACTCAGTTAATACTGTGTGGGAAATGTTGCTGTAATTTCCTGACTTTCATGGGTTGAAAATCTTTACTTGATTAAGTTCCTTAATAAACAGGCGTTTTTCTGGCTTTGCATGATACTTTTTCAGTTTACAAGAAACAGAACTAGCTGTGGTCAGAATGGTCCACCTTGTTTCCCTGGATAAGTCTGCACTTCCTCTTGGCGCTATTTAACTTCCTAGAATGTTTTATCTTTACCTCACACTAGTTTTAAGAAATAGAGTTGATTGTAACGGCCACATGACCAATAGCGTGAAATGCTTAGACTATGCAATACCGTGAGTACCCCTCCAAGAAATTAAATATCTCTCATACAGTCATGGGTTCCTCTGCGGAAATGAGAAGAGGAGAACTGAGAATGGGACTGGGCTGAAGGCACGCCGAGGTCTAATCCTGGTTGACAGTGATGCCTGTAACCTTGGGCAAAACACATATTCTCTGCGTTCCTTTTTTTCATCTAGAAAAAGGGGCTAGTGCCACCAGACCTGTCTCCCAGTTTTGGGCACTAAGAAGTTTGCAAAGCGAGTTGAAAATGACAAGTACAGTAAATTGTTATAATGAGCCCTATCACTGGAGTCGGGCAGCCTTTTCACTTATCTTCAGCATTAAGATTTTGTGGGCTACTAAAGGTACAATAGAGCATCAGACTTGCATAGCCAAAGTCCACAACGTTTGGATTCAATGTGCAATCTGACAATCGCTCAGCTCAGCTGGAAGGTAAATAGTGTGATTGGATGAGGTAGGGAAATATAGAGAACCATGCTGGCAAGAGTACAAAGAATCTAAGAGTTTTGTGAGCACTTCCACAGCAACCCAAAGGGTAGATCTGGAAACAAACACTGACAAGCCATAACTAAACTCAAATAGTAGCCTCTTCTGTACCTGTACTAATGACTTTAATTTTGTGTTTGATGTAATAATTGTCATGGACTCCACTGAATCCTTAAGCAGTTGATTCATTTATAAGGTTAGGTGAGGCTTACCACATTCCAATCAACTGACTAGAATGTGAATTACGCTGGCAGATATTCAGCACGGGGCGTCCATACAAAATTAATGGGCTCCCTGAAGTTGAAGCCATGGTATTAACTTAACTACCAGGGAAGACAGGAGAGCCATTAAGGATCATCTTGTGCTGGGAGAGCAATGGGTTTGACACAGGCTGTCCCAACACGTGGGTTAGTTTGCTCTGCAGGGTCTTGCTCTCTTGCTGAACTGCAGCGGGGAGGTGGCTGACTAGGAACAGGTGAAGGCTTGTGCCAGCCGGCGGCCTGCAGGTTCCCTGCCTTTGCTCCAAGACGTGTTGAATTCCTGCAGGCCAGGAGCAGGTGCGAACTGCGGCTTATTTCAAAAGGTCTCTGGCCCAAGCACTTCCTTTGGAGATGGAAAACGGGAAGCGGCCTGGCTTCCCCAGGGCAGCGCATCTTAGGAGCCGGCGAGGGGCAGGTGGGCTACGCACAATGGTGCCGGGCAGGCAGGTTCCGAACAGCTGTGGAGAAACAGGAGCCCGGATCAGTCCCCTTTGCAATGCACAAGCGCGCGGCTGCCGAGGGGACAGGGCCCAGCGCGGCCAGAGAGCGCCACGTGGGGGCTACCTGCCCAGCCCAGCCTTCTCCGGGCAGGGGCAGGGCTCGGCTCCGCCCGGCCGCCAGTGGGAGGGCCGTGGGTGGGGCGCTGGGCGCTGCGCCGGGCGGCGGAGGCAGTGGCTGGAGGAGCCGGTGGGGCGAGGATGCTGCGGCAGTTGCTGCTCTGGGGGGTGCTGCTGGCCGAGGCGGCGGCGGCGGGCTCGGCGGTGGCGGTGCTGAGCGCGGAGCTGCGCGGCCAGCCGGCGCGGGAGGTGAGCCCGGCTTTCCTCTCCCTCACCATCGATGCCAACCTGGCCGCGGACCCCAGGTTCATCCCCATCCTGGGGTAAGTGACCGGCCCGCCCTGCGCCCCCCCATCCCCGGGTCACCCCGCGGCTGCCTCCCAGAGGGGAGCAGCGATTTCCTGCCCCTCCGTTAAAAGACGGGTGCGTGTGACCCTCCCCTTAAGTTCTGCAGCCGCCAGCCCGGCGCAGTCAGAGGGTAGCTAGAGTCGTCCCCGACCCCGGGGCCAAACAGCCTCCCAAGTCCTGCCAGTCCCGTATCTCCCCCCCACCACACACACACTCCAGGGAGTCCCAGCCAGGTGTCCAGGGGACCCTGCCCCGCTCTCTGCCGCCAGAGACTTACAGGCTGCCCAGCTCCCTGCCTTCCCCTGTGGTAGCTCCAGTCTGCCCAATGGCCAGTGCCTGTGCTTTGCTTTCTCTCCCAGGGCTAGGAACAGTGGGGTGTCAGCAGTCCCCAGCTACCACCCACCTCCCTCTAAGCAAGCGCCTTTATTCCTCATGTAATAACATTTCAGAGGAAACATGTAAAAAACAACAGAGGTTCCTACCTACCTGCTAAAAGCTTAGCAGAGGTCACCTGGGGGGCCCTACTAGCTAAAGTCTTTCCAATCCTTCCGCAAGGCTTGGGGTACCCTGGGACAGGAAATCCTCTCCACTTGCTGAATGAAAAAGAAGGACGAACGCCCTATCTATGTCAGTTCAGGGGGCGCTCTTTATACTAAGCTCTTTATACCAAGACCCTTATGGGGTCTTCTGAGCCAGGATATCTATCCTGCAATTTTATAGCCTCCCAGCCTGAGCCCCAGTCAGCTGACACGGGCCAATCATGGGTGTGTTGTTGCAGTGTAGACATACCCTTTGGCAGGAACACAGGGTGGAGGGAGTTCACAGGACAGCTGCCCACGCTGTACTTGTTTTGAGGATAAACAAGGTGCTTTGTTCTGCAGGGCTGTAACTGCAATAGCTTTCATCAGCACAAAATCCACAGGATTTTTTTTAACTGAACTAAAGAGAGCTTGAGAACTCAGCAGAGAAAAAGGTAGGGCTGAGATGCACTGACAGGCGCACAGGTGTAATCCCAGGAGAGGAGCTACCAAGGGTCAGATGGGGGCCAAACACCACAACACAGAGGAAGCAGAGTCTTCCAATGATCGAGGGACTCCTGAACTCACAGCCTTCTAGCTCCTCCACTGAGCAGGGTCACGAAGTGAGCTGATCTCCCAATCCTGGTACAGCTTTGGACTCTCCTCCCACTTATGTCTTTTGCTTAAAGTGGAGTGAAACAAGTGGAGGAGGTTCTGTCATTGCCCGAGGCTGAATCTGCACCTGCTGGAAAATGCAGTCCTCCCTCAGCCACGCAGCCCTTCTTAAGGAAATACAGCGAATAAACCAACCCATGTTTAATCTTCACCAGAGTTTTTCCTCTCTCCTGTTTCCTTTCTGTTTTGATTCTCCATGTCTCTCCTGCCCGCCCCCGACTTCTCCTGTGTCCACAAATCTTTTCTTTTTTACCACCTGCTTTCTATCCCTTTTATCTCTTTCCTCATCTTTTGACTTCCTCTTTCCTGCAGCTGCTTTCATCCTGCTTGTCTCACTTCTGTTCTCTACATCCCCTAACTCTTAGTCCCCATTCCTGTGTTTCCCTTTTTCTCCCCTCACCCTGCCTCACTCATCTTTCTTTTTCTTATCTTTTTTCATTTGCATTTTCATTTGCTAGGTCTCACTTTTACCTTCATCTCACAGGGGTGTTGAGGATTAATGTGTTAATGTTTGACTTGTTAAACACTTTCTTCTCTCTCAGCTTGGGCCTTCCCATTTTTGGGGATCCCTCCTGTTGCTTGGCTATTGGAGATGGTCTCCCATCATGTGGGAGTCTTCCTTCTAGCTAGCCGCAAAGAAAATCTGCCCTTCTCTCCCACTGCCTGAGCTCTGGGAATAAGACCCTGGAGCAGGGATGGGCAAACTTTTTGGCCCGAGGGCCACATCTGGGTATGGAAATTGTATGGCAGGCCATGAACGCTCATGAAATTGGGGTTGGGGTGCAGGAGCGGGTGAGGGCTCTGGGGTGGGGCTGGAGATGAGGAGTTTGGGCATAGGAGGGTGCTCTGGGCTAGGACTGAGGGGTTTGGAAGGTGGGAGGGGGATTAGGGCTGGGACAGGGGGATTGGGGTGTGGGGAAGGGGTGCAGACTCCGGCTGGGGGGTGTGGGCTCTGGGATGGGGCTGAGGGGCTTGGGGTGCCGGAGGGTGCTCTGGGTTGGGATCAAGGGGTTCGGTGAGCGGGAGCAGGATCAAGGCTGGGGCAGGGGGTTGGGGCACGGGGGAGGCTCAGGGGTGCAGGCTCCGGGCGGAACTTAAGTCAAGCAGCTCCCGGAAGCAGTGGCATGTCCCCACTCCAGCTCCTACATGGAGCCGTGGCCAGGCAGCTCTGTGCGCTGCCCCGTCTGCAGGCACCGCCCCTGCAGCTCCCATTGGCTGCAGTTTCCAGCCAATGGGAGCTGTGGGGGTAGAGTGCAGAGCGGAGACCCCTGGCTGCCCATAAGGGCTGTCCCTAGACATTGTAGTGCCCTACGCAGCCCCCCGTGGGGGAGGAGGCTGACCCCAGGCCTCCATGGGGTGGTGGCGTCACCAGGCCTTCGGGGGGGCCTGCACCCAAGGTCTGTGGGGGGCAGGAGCAGGCTTGGGGGGCAGTGGGGAAACTGCCCCCCAGCACGAGCCGGCGAAGCGGAGTGGGCCAGGGGGCCAGGTTGCTCCACTTCCTGCTGCCCGGTGATTGCAGGGTGGGCCCAATCCCGCATTCACCAGGCGGCGGGAAGTGGAGTGACCCAGACCCAGCCCACTCTGCTCTGCTTCCGTGGCTCCCAGCCTTGGGGGGCCGGGGGAACCGCCCCCAGCACTCAATGGTGGCGTGGCTAGGAGTTGGTGGAGCGGGCTGGGGCCAGGTCGCTCCACCTCCCGCTGTCCGGTGATTGCAGGGCGCGCCCAACCCCTGCTGCAGTCCCCCGGGACGTAGCTCAGGGGAAGGGGTGGAGTGGGGGCGGGGCTGGGACAGAGCAGGGGTGGAGTGGGGGTGGGGCGGGGCTTTGGGGAAGAGGTGGGGTGGGGGTGGAGCAGGGGCGGGGGCTATGGGGAAGAGGTGGAGTGGGCGGGAGCGGGGGCAGCTTTCCTGGCCGGCTCAGCTGGCCAGGGGACTGGGCTGGCTGCTGGAGCAGCAGGCAGCTGCATAGGGCACCAGGAAATTTAGGGCAATTTGGTGCCCCAAATTTCCTGGTGCCCTACACAGCTGCATAGTTTGCATATGGGTAAGGATGGCCCTGCTGCCAGGGCCGGCTCCAGGCACCAGCTTACCAAGCAGGTGCTTGGGGCGGCCACTTCCGAGAGGGGCGGCACGTCCAGCTGTTGGAGCGAAGGACCCCCCCACCGAATTGCCGCCTCAGATTGTGATCACAGCTTTTTGTTTTGTTTGGCTGCTTGGGGCGGCCAAAACCCTGGAGCCGGCCCTGCCGCTGCCCTACACATAGAAGCCGGAGTGGGGACCATGCCACTGCTTCTGGGAGCTGCATGGAGCGGCCCCTGGCCCTGCTCCGCAGCTGGAGTGGGGCAAGCCCCAGACCCTGCTCCCCAGCGGGAGCTCGAGGGCTGTCTTAAAATGGCTGGCGGGTCAGATCCAGCCTGCGGATCCATAGTTTGCCCACCCCTGGCCTGGAGCCACTTGCTCCAGTCACCCTATTTCTACTGACAATGCACCCAGCAGCAAGTGGGTGAGGGGGGGAAGGGAAGGTATCTTCAACCTGCCTAGTGCACTTCTAACCTCTCTGACATTCAATAGCAAAGTGAAAGTGGAATGAAAAACGTCTAATCAGAGTTCATGTTTCAGGCTCTGCCACAAAGAGGAAGTAATTGGTGGCTGATAATCTCCTGCACAGTTGTTCCATAACAGAGATAACATCGGTGAAGTACAACTTTGTTGTCTCTGCCGCAAGGTCAGACTGAAAAGGGGCAGTCTTGTCTCTTCCTTTGCAGTGGCTGGGCTCACGGAGCATGTTCCCTGCACATTACTCCAGCTGAGAACTTGCGCAATCTCTGTGTGTAGACCAGTTTAATTTAAATAGGTTTTTTAATCTGTTAAGTTAAATTGATGCTAGCCCCTATGTGGACTCTGTTTTTGGTTTAAGAGTGACTGGATTCAGTGTTGCTTAGGTCAATTAGGAATCAAAATTTAAAACCAATTTTAAGTTAAACCAGTGCAACTTTCTTATGTAGGTAAGGCCCTGGTGTACTCCAAACTGCTGGTTACAATGTTTCCTCATTTCAGAAAGAGAGAAGCAGGGGCAGAACAAATTAAATATGGGTACATCTATCCCCCCAGCATTCAAACATGACATTAAAGTTCTGTCATCACTTCCAATGGTTGGAATTTTTGGAGAGGGAAGGTGGGGAAAACCACAACAAAACATAAAAAACCCCTTCATTTGCAAAGGATACTCCCAGTCGTATCATTGACCATTTTCATCAGAAGTGAGGACTTTCCCTGGAGAGCAGCTGCCTGACCTACAAAATCATTGATAACTTAGTCAGAAATCTGCCAATCCTATGATCTAGTGGCAGCCCTGCTATATGATGCAGGGGATTGAAGTATGGATCTGGGAGTGCTGGAGGTAACACACTCAGCCCCTGGGTGTAATAGGAGGCAAAGAGTGACATAGTTAAGGGGAGGTATAAAGAGAGGAAAGGGAGGGGGGAATTCCTGCAATCTCCACACCCTCTGAGGCCACATTCTGCAAAATTTGCATCTGGATTTGAATGTTTATGATCAGACCCATCTCTGCAACTAATTATGGTCAGCTTGACTGTGATGAAGATGTTTGTTCCATTTCTCAATACTCTCTTCCCCAGCTCTCCCAAACTGCGCACTTTAGCAAGAGCTTTGTCTCCAGGCTTCTTGAGATTTGGTGGCACCAGAACTGACTTCCTGATCTTCAGTCCAGAGAAGGATTCAACTTTAGAAGACAGAGACTTTTGGGAATCACAGGTGAATCAAGGTAAAACAGATGGCAACATGTTAACCATGAACATGTCTTTGATTTAAGTTAATTAAAATGTGCTTTAAAGCATGCTGCAGATACAGTAAATACAGGGCAAAGCATTCTAGTCCATGCTTACATGTCAGTAGACTCGCCTGAGGTTGACAGGCATGTCCCATGTCCTGCAGGACTAGCTCCTAGCTGCTGGGAGAGGAAAGCACAGGTGAGTGGAGCCTGCCCTAGAGGTACCACTAAGTGAAACCTCCAACTTAGTGGCCCAGGGCTGTTTAGAGGATTCTTCTCTGCATGGGTCTTTAGAAGCATCTTCCATCCTATCCCTTCCATTCTGCTCTGTCTCTTCTCTTACCACTGCCCCAGTACTTCACAGTCTGCTGATCTCCCTTTCCCCATCAGCTGGCTCTTTGTGTTTCTTTACATTATGAGCTCTGGCAGGGCCTGTTTGTGTGATCAGAGCCTAGCGCATTCTGACTGGTACCAGAGTACAAAAAACAAATGATGACAATTGAGATGCAGGGTGGAAAACCGGTCACTTTACAGGCAGAATCCCCACCTAACAATTGGGAAATCTACCTTTCTACTGGGTTGCTGTTCCATATGCTGTCATCAGAACAGCGTTCCTAGCCTCTGCTTTCACCAATAGGAGCTGGGAAATTGCAGCTACATCCTAAAATAAAGCACGAACTGACAAAAATAATTAGGTGGAAGGCAGGAGATTATTCTGCTTTACCTCCTTGCGGGGGATTTGCAAAAGCACTCAGTTTTGGCTTATTCCCACTCTCATTGAAGACAATGGTTTTCTTCTTTCTTAGGGCAACTTGAAAAGCAACTTTAAAGATCAGTGTCCAGGTTTGTCATCCACTCTGTCAGCTTCCAGTGACATGGAATGAACCAAGGCTGTCCCTCTGGAGAAGGATCTTAGGGGGCAGTGACTCACTATATGTTCCATGGTTTACTCCCACTAACTTTAAGGGGAGCAGAGTAAGGACAACATTGAATGCTCTAGAAAATCCCACCCTTATATTTAAATAGCGTGGATATGTTTTTTTTTTAAAATCCCACACTTTGCTTCTAGATAGATGGCTTGCGTATGCCAAGTTTTAGCATCTGATGAATTTCACTGAGAATTTATACCCTTCTAAAGTTGGGTTCACTGATGAAAAGCCTTGACAAAGCAATCTGTCCAGTGGTACTAGTGGGTGGTGTTAAATTGAAATATTTCCTGTACTTTGTCCTGCTCTCTTGCAGTGCTTATGAACGTACATCCTCCTCGGTTTAATGTCCGACAGTGTTGGTGTGTGGTTTATGGGTTCAGTCTTTTTTTTTTTTTTTTAATATTGCCTGAAGAACAAACTTAACATTTCCAGAACTTCTGCCAAGATCTTTTTCTCACCACTCTTGTAATGAGATCAGCAGTTCTCACTGCATCAGCCAGGAAATGGGTTTTTCCTGTTTTGTACAATAAGAGCTGCTGACCTTGCCATCTTCCTGCACTGTGGTTCTTTACTCAAATGGTACATTGTCTGTCTAGTTGCTTTGCATACAAGATTTAAAGACATTAGCATGATAACTCAGAACTGCCTCCAGTAATAACCAAACAATGTACCAAATTATAGCCACCCATAATCCAATCTCACCATATTACAACACAGTCAGTCGGTCCCCACTCTAAATGTTTTAAAGAAAAGATGTGCTTTGCACATATTTAAGTGCATTCCTGTAATGGGAATACTTTCGTTAGAACTAACAAAAATCTTAAAACCTGTAGAAGCACGGTGAGTGCCGTCACTGTAAATGCTAAATATTTTTAGATGTTGAAAAGACACCTGGCTGTATTTGATTTTAGAAGGTGGAAATATCAACCCAATCATTCTCCTTTCTAACGTTTAATGTATTGAACTCAGCAGGAGGATTCAGCCTACAGAAATGCATGGATGAGCAGCTCTGTACAATCGTAACTGTTTCTTTATGTGGAATACAATCCTCCATTTATTGTAACCTAAGCATAATACTATGAAAAGTTTATTATTATGACATGTTGTGGGTTTTTTTGGCCTACAGGTATTTGTGGAGTAAGATCTATTCCTACTGCTGTGGAGGAGCTACTGCTATCTCAGTGGCCCATCCAGGAGAAGATACTCCTTAAGGAACAATACTGGAAAAAATACAAAAACACCACCATTACAAGTAAGATGTTTGTGACAATACCTGTTAATTAGAAGGTCACTCTTGTGCTGTGACTTGCAACTGGGAGGTTGCAAACCTATTTGAGTTCTAGGGCAAAATTTTCAAAAGCACATAAGTCCCATTTTCAAAAGAGACTTTGACCATTGGGCTCCTAAATGCCTTTGAAAGTTTAAATAGACAAGGTGGATGAGGTAATATCTTTTATTGGACCAACTTCTGTTGGTGAGAGAGACAAGCTTTCGAGCCACACAGAGCTCTCCTTCAGGTCTGGAGCTCTATGTAAGCTTGAAAGTTTCTCTCTTTCACCAACAGAGGTGGTCCAATAAAAGGTATTTCCTAACCCACCTTATCTCTCTAGTATCTAGGGCCCAACGTGGCTACAACAAATTTGAAAGTTTGCCACTGAGGTGTGACTGAAAATGTTGCCACTCGTGTCTGTTTTCTGATTTAATATTTTGTCAGTTGCAATGGGAGTTGAGAGGATGCTCAGAATCTTACAGGATAAGGCCTTGAGAATGTAAAATCAGTGGGGCTGTATATGCTACATACATCTTCAGCACTAATAAAACAAATCATCACAATGAGTAGTCTGTATATTTGTTCTAAGTCAATTGGCACTTCAGAACTTTGAAGAAAATAATTCATTTCCCCCCCCCTTCTTTCTTCTTACAGAAAGTACAGTGGACATTCTGTATAGCTTTGCAAAGTGTTCAAAGCTGGATCTGATCTTTGGCCTTAATGCCTTACTTCGAAAACGTGGCTTGCAGTGGGATAGTTCAAATGCTCAGTTGCTCTTGGATTATTGTGCTTCCCAACATTACAACATGTCTTGGGAACTTGGGAATGGTAAGTGCAGAGTGTGAGAGGTGGTGTGTGTGTGTGTGTGTGTATTAGTGTTAGGGTAGTCACAGTAGATATTGTTCTGCTGAGAGGTACTGGTGACTACATCGATCACAAATCTCTGAGATCGGATGTGAGCTCACCCGGCATTTAACACAAGGAAGAGTTAATCAGAAGCCCCCTTCACCTGAGACACAGAGGTTGTGAACCTGCCTGGGAGTTTGGACTGAGGCCATGTCTACATTACAAAATTAAGTCAACCTTGCATTGCAATTACATTGCTTGTGCGTGTCTGTGCTTTGCTCCTTGTGTCAGAGGTGCATGTCCTCACCAGGAGCACTTGTATCGATTGTACTGTCAGTGTGGGGCACCGTGCAATGACTCCTGAAAGCCAGTAACAGTCGACATAAGCAATGCAGTGTCTACACTGACGCAGTGTCTACACTCAGACTTGCATCTGAAGAAGTGAGGTTCTTACCCACAAAAGCTTATGCTCCCAATACTTTTGTTAGTCTTAAAGGTGCCACAGGACCCTCTGTTGCTTTTTACAGTGCCTACACTGACCCTGCGTTGACCTAACTACATTGACATTGACTGTATGTTGCTCTTGAAGGTAGAGTGAAGTTGGCGTAGCAGGGCAGTTACGGCGGCAGGAGCAAAATTTTAAGTGTAGACGCTTCCATAGTTAGGTTGACATAAGATGTCTTGGATCGACCTAACGCTGTAGTGTAGACTAGACCCGAGTGCTTTTGGGTAGGGATGTGTGTTTGAGGGAAGGGGGAATTCACAGAAACTGAGGACAGAACAGAGAGGGAGGCAGAGGCAAAAAGCAAGAAAACCAAGCTGTAGCCGGTGAGCACAGTGTGACCCTAGCGAAAGCTAGAGAGAAGGTTTTTGAGTCTGTTGGGTAAAGAGGCCTGGGGCTGTAAGTGAAGACACTGCTCCTTTTGTTCTTGGTTCCTCCTGCATTCGGAGAAGCAGGACTTTGTATGTTCCTTGTAAACAAACAAGATTTCATCAAAGAAAATACCCCACTCACCAATTTCTGCTCACAACTGGAACATCCCCAGGACCCTGAACCTTGAGTAGCTGCTTGGATCGAAAAGGGGCCACAGTATTTTGTACATTCCACTGCTGCAAAACTGCAGAAAACTCTTGGCTGCAGAAACCCTGTCAAACAATGGCAGATTTTTGTGCCTGCATCTCACGCTGTTTTCTGAACTGATCCATAAAGCTGGACTGCTAATAGTTGTCAGATTGTTCCACAACTAGAGATGGGATGAATCACAATTTTGGGATATTCAGGTAACACTTTTTGTGGCAGTTGGAGCCATATAGATCCATAATGGTACTGGCCATTGTTGGAGACAGGATAGACCATTGGTCTGACCCAGGATAGCAGCTCTTATGTTCTTATCCTGAACATCAATAACTGCAATCCATTAGGGAGCCACAGTGGGAGAAAGCAAATTACAGGGAGCAGTGCTGGAGTCAGGAAAAGCAGGGTGTCAGCGACAGTGACCAGGGGGCACTGGCTAAGTGGGAGGGGATTTCTGGTAATACAGTAGAGAGAAAAAGCATTTGTATACCAGGTTTGGGAATGGGTTGACTAGCAGTAGGCTATACTAGGAAGGAACAGGAGAAGAGACTCTGGATTCGGGTGACAAGAGGGAGACAAGTAGTGATACACAGCAAAAGAAGTCTCTAATAACAGAAGTTGTGGGGAGGGTCTCTGGGGCTGAGAAGAGAGGCGTAGCAGGCCAGGAAATGGGAGAGAGCAAGGTAAGACTGGAAATATTTACTACCACATGGCAATGGCCATTAATTTCTACAATGAAAAATTTTCAGGAACGTCTCTGTTTGATAAAAATCCAAATGAGGGCGTGGTTTATGGGGGAAAGGGTGAGATCTTAATCATGTCTAAGAGAAGCAGTGGAAGACCTACTGCTTGAATTGTTTTAAATCAATTCACTGTTTGTAAAGTGCTTTGGCATCCTCAGATGAAAGGTGCTACAGAGATGCAGAATATCATCATCATTACTTATTCAAACTAATTTGGATAGAGGTCTGGAAAACATACTATATGGAACAATCCTTTCCTGGGAGGCCACGCCCTCCCGTAGATGTAATAGTCTCTCCCGTCTCTTATTTCATAGCTTATTTACTGCCCAACTGTGTAGTTAACTTTCTGTAAGTTGGTTGGTTATTACTGCTGTGCACATTTTGAATGAGTCATATGTTTGTTCTGAAACATTACTGAGGAACAGTCTGTGTGTATATGTTTGTTTCTTTCAGAGCCAAACAGTTTCAGGAAGAAGTCTGGCATCTATATTGATGGTTCCCAACTTGGGCAAGACTTTATTCATCTGTATCACCTTCTGAGAAACTACAGCAGTTTCAAGAATTCAAAACTTTATGGCCCTGATGTTGGTCAACCACGGAAAAACACTCAGAAGTTGTTGAAGAGGTAACCAAGCAGAAACCTGCCATCACAGGCTTGATAAGAGAAGGCAGTACACTGAGCATAGAATGCAGATGTGTATGGGAGAGAGGATTGAGAATTTAAGGGGTCTGATGATTCCATAGTTGGAACATGCCTAAGGTGTTAGGATACTGAAACATTAGATTTGATTGAGTACTAATTCTGTTTTAGTTTTATGGAAAACTGGAGCCAACAACTGTCTGCCTGTCGGAGTCTGATTAAAATCATAACTGCATTGCCAGAGAGTAAGGGCTAAATCCCAGCTGGTGTAAATTGGTTCCGTTCTACTGATGTAAACGGAGCTACTCTGATTTATAGCAGAAGCTCTGGCCCTTAAGGGTGACAGAAACTCACTAATCCACACACTTTTCAGTCAGCACCAGAAAAGTGAGTTCCCACCTTTCAGCAATGATTTAATAACAAATGGTGTGTCAGTCTCTTACCGCTTTATTATTCATTATTTTTGCAAAATATTTTTCAGTACATCTAATGTACTGTAAAATATTACCAGAAATAAGTGGCATAAATTGAGTATAATACATACAACAAATTTTAGAAACAAACTCAAGGGAAGGAGGAAGGTAGGGCGGGGTATTATGAATATTTTTTAAATGTAGGTTAGGGTGTCTAAAACGCATGACGCATCAGTGAGATTGCAGCATTTGATATAATGGAAAGCTTGTGCTTTAGGTTTTTATACATCTGTCTGATACCAGTCAAAAAGCCCCAAATCCACTTCTGCTGTAGTCGCTAAATCTTGTTTAAATAAAAGTTTTAACTAGTGTCTTGCATGTGAGAATCTCAAAGTACTGCACAAACATTAAATAACCCTCAACAGTCCACTGGTGTAGGTAAATGCTACTAATCCCATTTTATAGATGAGGTAAACTGAGGCTCAGAAAGGTTGAGTGACTTGCTCAAGATCACTCAGCTAGTCATTCTCAGAGGCAGGATTAGTTTTGTGCTCATAGCCTCACAAAATAATGGAGTTCTTTTTGTTTGTTGACAGCTTCCTGAAATCAGGAGGGAAAGTAATTGATTCTGTTACCTGGCATCAGTAAGTATTAAGTATCTATTTAATTGCTATAATATTAATAGACACAGATTTTTGTGAAACATTATTGATTTTAAATAGCGTGATGGCGAAAGTAGAAAAACATCAGTTGAAACAGCTGTTCACACACACAACCACTCATTGTGGAACTCTGTCCCCGTAGAGTGGTGGGTAGGCCACAGAGAGAGGTGGATGAATTTGCATACAAAGTGGGGTCTTACCTCATGCAGTAGAGCTACAAGCTCCTAGAAACAAAAGACCCAGGTTCAGTCCCCACTCCCAGTGACTTCCTGGCAGCATGATGTTACACCAACCCTGAGTTAACAATACCCTACTTTTAATAAAAAGAACAACAAAAGAAATCCTGTAGGGCCCTACCTTGCAACCCAACCGAACGTGGGGGGTTATCATGGTAGTAAGCAGGTTTTTCAGGATCAGACCTTAAAGACTGACTAATCTAAAGGTTCTCATATTTCAAAATGATTCAGCAATACAGCTTATTGCAACAATGTTATTCTGCAAGTCTCTTGGCTTTGCATGTGAAAAGGGAGGGTGGCATGTAGTTGGAGGTGAATTATTAGTGCTAAAATATCAGTGAAGGATTTAATTGGCAGCATTTGTAAACACAGATTGTGACTTTTTTTCTTATTTTTTATTAGATTTGTTTGTTAGGTGTTGATGAGGATTCTGTATGGTACTAGACTTTTGACAATTCCTGCATGGAAGTTTTGTGTCTCTTTCCACAGTCTATTTCTTCTCCTTCCCACCATGCTGATGTATCCCAGGACTCCTCCAATGCCATGCATGGAGTTTCCCCCATGATTTTACCTCTCCTTTCCCTGTTCTGAATAAACAGTATACATGAAGAAAAGAGATTTTTAAAATGTTAGGATTATCTAACAGGCCTCTTAGCGCACCAGTTTTACCATCCTTTCCGGGTCCCCATATCACTGACGATCAGTGGCTATGCAGCTCCAATAAAGGTGGAAAGATGTAGTGGCATTCCTGATCATTTTATAATGTAAGGATAGCCAAGAGTCTATTTCCTGTGGCTGTGTACAGGGCTCCGTGTGATTACTAAGCCTATGTGAGCAATGATCACAAAAGAGATACTTCCATCGTGTTAAGATGGAGCAAAGAAGTCCTAGCAGGTACATTTTTCAAGGCAATGCAGGGAGTTAAGCAGTTTTTCTGACCAGGAAAGGGTGTTGTTCCAACAGACAAGGTCTGGTGGGCTTTTACATATGTAGCATTTGGACAGGCACAGCCGCTGACATATGCAGACTGAGCAGCAGCCCAGGTTATCTCAAAGCTCCACAAATGCTACAGAACTTGTAACCGAATAGACTTTCCTACTGGGAGGTGAGCGGGGCTTGGTTGGCATAAAGGAGAAGGAGAGTCTTACTCTTGATTAGTAATTTGCACTTTCTAGCTAATAGTTCACTCTAAACAGCACAAGGAACTGTCCCAGATGAAACAGCCATGTCAGAAATGAGAGTAATGCTACAGGGTAACTAATTATGCAAATCACTTAACAATTGAGAGAGGAGTGTTAGAGATGGATGCTGTTCCTTGCAAAAACACCATTTGCGATTCAAGGAAGGTTATCTGTTGCCCAAGTGGAAGCATGATCCAGCTGCCCCTTGGCTGCCACACAGGCTTTGGCTAGTAGAGACAATAAGTCTGAAAGAGAGAGGAAGGGGGAGAGCCATATCCCTGAGGATAAGACCCATGTCAATACTGTTGTGGCCTATAAGTTGGAGTCCCCTGGGGTGCTGAAGGATGCTCCTGTCCAGCTGTTGCTGAGGCTCTGGAGAGACTTGGGGGTTGAGTTCTCTCAGAGACTATCACACACAATAGCTGGGAGGTCTGTCATTAGAGACAGTGAGACCTAGTGACCAAGTCAAATTGGCCTGCCCTCCCTTGCCACAAAAGGAGCACATATTAGCTTATCGCTTCACTGTCCTCATGGTCATCAGCCATTTTACACACCCCAGTAGGTAGGAGATCTGTGCTGGAACTGAGCCATATTCTCTGTTGCACCAGTTTGCCTCATTGAAGTCAGTGGTGCTGTGTGAGTGCGACTGAGAATTCAGCCCACTCAGAGAAACTAGTCTAGAGAAAATTCCAGAAACCATCACCAAGAGCACAAACTATTGGTAACAGGAGCCTTAGGCAACATGGGTTGGTGCTTTACATTCTGCATTTTTCTTCGTTCCTTGTGCCTGTTCAAGTTTAGTGTAAACAAAACCCCTTCAGGTTAAAGACTCACTTTTTCCACTCTGAGAATTACCCATGCAATTATCAGTAATACAGCTTCAGCTGCACGCTTAAATTCCCATTCATGTTTGACAATGTGCCTCTGATAGTCTTGACTCTCCTTGGGACCCAACCCAGTGTGTAAATCAAAGAAATATTATCTGAATTGCCAGTTTTAGTGATGTTGTCTTTAAGTGTTGATATATGGGCAAAGCTTTATAAAATAGGATCCTAATTTAGGAAAGCACTTAAGAACATGTATAACTTTAAGCATGTTCTTAGGTCTCCTTGTCACCAATGGGACGTAAATACATGCTTAAGTGTTTTCCTGAATAGAGGTGCTTTCCTGACTTTGAATTTATATTGTTCAAGATCCCAGGTCATTATCACATAATATTATACAGCTGTAATGTAATTTTAAAAATACACTTTTTGATTAAGGTTTGTAAAATAAAGAAACTAATTAATACAACTCTACATAAATGAACCCACTAAGTTAATTAGACAAATAATATTTCACTATATGCAGCAAGTCTACCTTAATAATAGAGCCAGCAACTAATGTAGAAAAGTGAATTTGATACAGAACTCCTCTACAGTTGGGAGTGTTGCTGGAATATTTTAGGACATTCAGGTTCTGTGTGAATGGGGAGACGCCATTTGTAAGAGAGGCAGTGTTAGTTTTGTGATCTCAGGTTAAAAATCAATTTCTTTACTTCCAAATCTTGAGTTTGAGTTTCTGTTTTGCTGTAGCAGTGATGTCCTCAAAACACTTGTAGCACTCTGCACGCTTCCAGCTGGTTCTGATGTCAGCTTTTTTAGATCAAACACAGTTATGCTGAATTTAGGATTGGCAGCTAAGTGAAGTAGGGGACAGATTTATGCATTTTTTTACATATACTTCCAAAGGTGAACCACAAAGCAAGAAGAAAAGCATGTCCATATAAATGTATAAAGAAGATCTCAAAGTTCTTTCTATTCCACTCCCTCCACTTGCACACAGATATACTTTCTTTTCCGATTCTCCATTACAATTGGGCTTTGACTATCGTTTGTGGGTGGATGGCCGTAGCAATTTTGGGGAGGACTGAAATGGTAACACCATAACAGGTTGAAACCTGAGATGTTGATTTTCCCAACCTATAAGACAAGTCTGACTTAACATCCCTCGCCCCCTTCAGCTGATGACGGGGAAAGCTGTAACCTTTGGGGATGTTACCGCCAAAGTCCTCTAGCTAAAAGCAGGAAGTTGGAACATGACAGACCTAATGTAAATAACAACCTCAGTATTTTTTCTGTTTCTTTGTACATCAGTGGTTTTCAACCTGTGGCCTGTGGATCCCTGGGGGTCTACAGACTGTCTAAGATTTCCAAAGGGGTCCACAGCTCCATTCAAAAATGTTTAGGGGGTCTGCAAATGAAAAAAGTTTGAAAACCACTGTTATACATCATAGATTCATAGATTCTAGGACTGGAAGGGACCTCGAGAGGTCATCGAGTCCAGTCCCCTGCCCG